CCAATCCGAGTTTGGATCATAATTCACACAACAATGTATTGTTTAATCCAAACTAATGGGAACCAGCCATATATCTACAAGAATACACTGACGAAGAAACTTGGGATTAAATTAAACTTCCATTAAAGATGTTCGACCCTCTGCAATACACTGATAAACAAAATCAAACGGGTAAAGCACCACAACATTTTATTAAGACAAACTCTATTATTCTACTTCTGAAAAGAGGAAAGAGCAGCCATGTAGTTGTTTTCATCAGTATTAATGCGGACCTCGCACTCGATGTCCAACCATAGTTAACCAGAACATGCTCGATACTCTTTCCCCGTGCAATTTACAATAAGCAATAAAAGAATACTAGAACAGCTCAGCAAGCGTCTTATTCTGCTCTAGATTGGCCAGCTCGAGAAGACAAGATGATGCCAACGATAAGGCCGTAAAGAGCCAAAGCTTCAGCAAAGATGAGGATAAGGATCATTCCAACAAAGAGTTTCGGCTGCTGTGCATTAGCTCTGCAACACAATATTGCTCAAATATCATTTGACACGAATTGTTTCAAGTGTGGGCATTCAAAATATTTTCAATGATAAGCAGCAGATAAAATCTATCACATACGTCATATCAAACATTATCAATCTATCAGTGATTTTGATATAATTTAAACAGTCTCAGAAACTAAAGCTTTTATCAGATTTAAAAATTTCCTCGAGACCTGTCTGAACTTTTAAAACAACAATAATTTAAAATTAGTTGCTAAGACCCTGAAATGCTTCATTGTAGTAAGAACCATGACATGAGCAGCCTAGATATTAAACCAAACATGGAGAGGGCACACCATGCTAGTAAACTCCGGAAAGAGAAAGCAACCATTTAAAGTAATAAACAACATTTTCACAGGCCAGTAACTTCTGGTTTCAATAAACAATAACAGTGTTCATATGTAAGTTAAAAACATGACGCTAAAAGCAGCATACCTGACACCAGCATCGCCAACAATTCCAATTGCCATTCCAGCAGAAAGGCCAGCAAGTCCACAAGCAAGACCAGAGGAAAGATGGGCATAGCCATCAAAAAGGTAATATGATTTTGCCTTAGGATTGATACCAGTACTAATAATAACAGCAATAATCAAACCATAAATACCCAAAACACCAGCCATAACAACTGGAACAATAGATTTCATAACCAACTCGGGCCTCATCACACCCATTGAAGCCACACCAACACCGCTCTTAGCTGTCCATATGCAGCTCCCATACCTATATCCAAAAATCATTATTTTATTCAATTTAGACCATGCAGAGTTCACTTAAAACAATCCACAATTAATCTACAAATTATTATTTTTATTCAATTTAGACCATGCAGAGGTCACTTAAAACAATCCACAACTAATCTGCAAACTTTTTAAACCATGTCTGAGTTGATTTTAACATAATCCCAAAATTCACATTAAAAAATCAATTTAATCCTGCTGATATTATTTGAATGCAATATTCTTGTTAGATCCACATCTAAATAACCCTAATATAGCCGAATTCTGTCGTTTAATTCCAATAAAACTAAAACTAAAGTACAAAATTTCTCAGCTAGATCAAAGTAAATTTTTAGTCCATAATTATTAACATATCAGCATCAAAGATCCATAAATTCTCCACATCAAAGATTTACATATTATAACATCAAATTTATACATAAATTTACTATAAAAAGAAAGCTTAACGTTTTTTTTTCAATCAGATCGTCTAATGATGCTAAAATCTAGTTGAACCATCAAATTCTCCATCAGACAATCAATAGAACGGAAATAACAAGAGATAAAAAAGATTATATAAAAAATAACGATAACTTAAGTGGAGGAAGGGTAGGAATTGGTTACAGGAGAAGACGAGAGCGGCGGCGGCGCCGAGGAAGCCGAAGAAAGGAGCCGTTTCATCGCCGCTGAAAGTGGAAGACATGGTGAATTTAGCGGATCTGAAACGCGGTGGTTTAGATCTGAGTAAAGCGAAGGCGACAGTTGCTTTGTTTTCAGAGAGTTTATTTATTTTCTATTTTCCTCTTTGATTTGCACTCTCCAGTTTGGAAAGAAAGCTTACCATACACAATTTTTTTTTAGTTGCTCATGTTTGTCTTTTGCGGTTAATGGGCTTTATGGCCCATGTTAGGTGTTGGGCTAAAGGTTTTTCTTTCTTTCTTTATAAGCTTAATAATAATATATTTTTTACTTGTCCAAAAAAAAATAATACATTTTACGTGCTTAAACTATAATCTAAATTGATTTTTAGTGTTTTAAGAGTTTTTTTTTTTGCTAAAATAAATATCTAACATTTTCAATGTTACATTTTTAAGTGCCTAAATCATAATGACCATTAAATTTGACTGTTATTTTGTGTTATCCACATAAAATTTCAAAAAGAAAATAAAAAATTTAAAAATATTATTTTATGAAATTATAAAGAAACCCAAAATTCTGAAAATTTCTAATTTCATTCCCTTCGCCACCACCGACTGCCACAATCGTCGTCATTCGGCTGAATTATCGATAACGCTCGATCGCCCGAAACACTCAACTGCCGAAATCCCATGATTCAAGCGACGATTGCTGCAAAAAATGGGTGAGTGCAACGATTGAAGATAGAGAGAACAACTCAACTTCTAACGGTTTTTTGACGAACGATGATCGATGAGTAAAAGATGATGGTCAAAGTTTGGTTGTAAGACGATGGCGAACTCGGGGGTGACATCCGGTGCACGCCACAGACGACTGGTGAAAGGTGATCGACACGACTTTGAATTGAACGCTATTGAAATATGATGGTAAAAGGAAAAGTAAAAATACGAATGCAAACTAAAAGTCAAGAATGTAATTTGGGACGGTCCAAATTACTTGGTACGAAATCTTGAAAATAGAAGGGTAACCAAAAGAATATGGATGCAAATTAAAACTGGTTAATTGTTGTCCAAGTCGCTCACAATTTTACACCAGTTCAAGTTAACCCACGGATTGGCAATTTCCATTACATTTAAACCCATCCATTAATTTAGTTTTAATTGGTTACGTAACATTTTTAAGTTACAATTGTGATTTTAACTTATTGAATTGTCTTAGCAATAATAAGGAATATTCTTCTTTCTAAGCGAACTGAATTCAAACAATTATATTTATAGTGTATATGTTATTCTTAACTTAAAAATTCTAAACAAATATTATTTTATAACCCCTACATGAAAACTTTATATGAGTGACATCAAACCTTCGGAATTGTAACTACACAATAAACAAACAGTAAAATACGATGATCAAATATGGATATGTTAAAAAAAGGCTTATATAATAAGAACTTAAAAGTATATTATCTTTTTCATTTAAGTATTCAAATTATTTTTTTGTCAAAATAAGTACTTAAAATTAAATTTTTAGTCAAAATAGGTATCTAAAGTATTCAATTTTTTTATTCAAGTACTTAGGGTGCGTTTGGTTCACGGAATATAAGATTACCAGTGGGAATAAAAGATTACCAGAGAATAGGATTATTGAGAATGTTGTATTTTGTGTTTGGTTGGTTTAGCAGTAATGTAAGATTACCGTGTTTGGTTAAAGGAATAAAAGATTATTGGAATGTATATTTGACCAAATTGTCTTTATTATATATTTGTATAATATTACAAATTATAAAATATTTATATATTTTCTTTAAAAAATTAAATTCATAATATTTATATATTTTTTTTTACAAAATTAAAAATATAAAAAAAGTTTAATGAAAGGGTAAATTTTTTTTAACCCCTGAACTTTATATAAAATTTTAATTATAGATTTTTTTTTGTAAATCTAAAATAATTTAAAGATAAATTTGTTATTTAACCTTCGTAGAATTTTTATTATTCAATGACAGAAGAATGATATTTTTGAAAAAAAATAATAATTTAAGGGTATTTTAGTCCAAAACGCCGGTAATGTTACAATACCTAAGAGAAGGGAGGTAATGACATTCCTGGTAATATACCCCAAAACATCTACTATTGGTAATAAAACATTACTGGGAATGAGATTCCCGACCAACCAAACATGGGAATGTGAGATTCCCATCCCATGGGATTCCCACAATCCTTGAACCAAACACCCCCTTAAAGTATTCTTTAATTAATGTCACATGTCAACCTTTTCAGAACTTATATAAAAAAATTTGAATAGTTTAAGTACATATTTTGACATAAAATGCTATAGGTACCTATTTTGACTAAAAAGATAATTTTAGGTGTTTATTTTGACAAAAAATATTTTAAATACTTAAACGAAAAATAAGGTATACTTTTGATACTCATTGGTGATGTAAACCTTTAAAAAAAATTCACACTATGAAGTTAGGTAGGTAGCCAAATATGTGCAGTGGAGTTGATGGCCGGTAATGGAACGCATAGAATGACCCGGAAAGGCGTTTCAAGACTTGAGCTTCCATAAGAAAATGTAGAAACTCAGCACGCCACACCCTGTAATTGTGCTCTGTTGGTATTAAAGCAGATGTGAAATAATAAGTGATCTGTTGAAGGGAAACTAGTGGGCTTACTCATTAACTCTGTAGGTGGCTCGTAATGGTGTTAGGAGGAAGTAGGTGAGAGGCTCATCAAGACGGGACATTGCTTGAAGAACTGATCTGATGACCAATTTATATAATACAAATCAAGAACAGCACACACAAAAATTCCAAGAGCTTAGTTTGTATCCTTCCAATGTAAGTCTCAACAGTGAGACTGACATTGTTATATTGTGGAGAAGGCTCGAGGTAGGTGACGGTTGATACAGTTGTGTTAGTCATTGGAGCATGTTTTTAGTGTTTATGAGAGGAATACAAGGTTTTTATAAGAGTTTAACATGACTTCAATTTTTTTATATATTACGGTATTTTAATTCTTTTAAGAATTAAGAAAACGGAACGTCGTCGTTGTGGAGGGGAGGAAAATAATAATTTCAATTATTGTATCTGGTCCTTTGCAAAAACAAATTGTCTCTTGCAATCGAACTCCGCTCGTTTTGGGAACGAAATCTCAAGCACTTTCGAAACATTGCTCCATTTATCTGTGGGAGAACTTTAAAAAGGGTAAGCTTTTCACTCTTCTCGACTTCTTTTTTATTATTATTCAGGATTTCCCCACACGCGTGCATTCTGTGAGGTTATTAAACTCATTTTTTTTTATTTTTTCAAAATTTTGTTCTATAGAAGGAATTTCGATTGTAGTAAGCAAACCCTAACTTTACTGAAAGCTGGAACTGACCTGGGTTTGTACATTTTCTCCTTCACTTTTATCTCCTTCTGTTTTGTGTATTTCTGCTGATTTTTGAATTGCTCGTTGTATCTTTTTATTCCAAAATGTTTTAGGTTGTATTCCGATTTTATGCTCACAAGTAAACTTGGATTATGGAATGTGCTTAATTGGAGCCTTGTTTACTTGCATCTATGTCGTTCTCAGTATTTTTTCCCTCTGAGTTGCTTGGAACTGATCTGTTAAAGGAAAAGGAATTGTTCTTCTATGTTTTGTTTGAGAAATTATGGATCTGCATTGTTCATTCGATGGGACTGGATATGCTATGCAAGAACTATTTGGGATTTCAAATATTTTCTGTTTTTTTTTAATTAGTTTTCATGCCTGTGTTTTAATTCATTTTGGATTTTGGGTTTTTGGTCTCAGGGTTTGACCTGTTTTTTTTTAGCTGCTCATCAAGCTCCCCATCTTATTTTGTTTTGTGCGTGCCCCTATCTTTTGATTCTTTTCTTATTTATGAACTTACTGAAATAAGTGTTGGTAAGTATTGCAACTTTGCTTGACTGTATTCATGGTAGGTGCCGGCTTTACCACTTGCTGATTAGGTTTTTGGCAATTGCTATAAGTCGTCTCGAGTTCTTTGGCTGCTTGCCTTTATTTGATGGCATTCTTGCATGCATTTTAGTATATCATGATAAAGACTCTGTTCCATTTGTTTCAGGTGCCTTGTTAACAGTTTTGAAATTATTCTAACCATGACACTTTTGAGTGTCCTGGGCTTGAGTGTTTAATCCTGACTTCACAAATGACAATTCTGAAAAAAAGATTACTCTTGTTATGTTTCTTATTTGTAATTTTAAACATTCTTTTCCAAATATGCCAGCCCCTTGCGCTGATAATATGTAGAGCTTGATTTTACTCCTTTTGTTAAATGCTGATGTTATCACTGTGGTTTATGCCTCATTTTAAATTATTTGAAGAAGTGGTGTTACATGAACTACAAATATTCTTAACAGTGTCTAAAATTGCTTGGTATTGGCTTCGATATATTCCGGAAACTTATTTATCAAAAAATTATTCTAAGTTCACTAGTAAGTTTCTACTCTTGATTTTTTTATTATTTTTCTCTATTTTTGGTTAGGCCTGGTAATTCTGACATGTATTCTCTTTATTGTTTAAAAGTATATACTTTATGTTTGATTTTTAGTTGATATTTTTTTGTTTATTTGCTGTGGCTGTTTATTTTTCCTTCTCCAAGTTGCATGCTTTCTAGTTGGAACTCAGGATTGCTTGGTTTACACTCTATTTTCGAAAGTTTTGTAGTTGCGCTTTTTTATTGATCTAGCTCTTTACTTCTGTTTGCTTATTGCTAGTTGCTCCGCAAATCATTTGAAATTGCACATGCTGGAAACTCGATCACTTTTGAATTTGCATTAAAGTTCGAGGAATGAATGTGAAAATTTTTAGCCTTTTTTTTCAGACTTGATATTAGATTTGATGGATGGTGCTGGGAAACAAGAAAATGGGAGATATAAGCTGGACCAGTACAAAGGAGCACCCCCTCCGGTAAGAAGAAAATTAGCAAACCCCCACTGGACGATGTTGCTTTAGTGTCTATTTTATTATTCAATATTTGATTTATCTGAGTATTATGCAAATGATACATGCAGTGGAACATGATGCCACAACATCACATGAAGGAACAAAGCAATGCCTTGGTCATGAATAAAAAAATCATGTCTATACTTGCTGAGCGGGATGCTGCTATTCGAGAACGGAACATCGCTATTTCTGAAAGGAAGGAAGCACTGGCTGCACGAGATGAGGCTCTGCAGCAGCGGGATAAGGCACTTGCTGAACGTGATAGTGCCTATATTGAGAGAGATAATGCTTTAGCTGTGCTACAGTACCAGGAAAATGCCATGAGCTTCCCAATTGGAAGTGGTATTCAGCGTGGAGGAACACGCATGCACCCTTCATGCCATTCAACCGAAATGGGCGAAACTCTCCATTGTGAAAAGCACGTTACTGATGCCATCCCACTATCTACCGTCACTTCTGAAGGCAAGTCTTGTCCTGTAAAGCGGACAAAGGTGAATAAAGCTGCTTCACAGAAGCCGCCTCGGAAGATTAAGAAAGTGGCTGAGGGTTTAAATAGGCAAGCTGGTACTGAGGTAAGGAAGTGTAAATCTGAGTGGAATGCTCAGGATATTGGATTGAACATGGTAAACTTTGACGAAACCACAGTGCCTGTGCCAGTTTGCACCTGTACAGGAGTTCCCCGACATTGCTACAAGTGGGGAAGTGGTGGATGGCAGTCATCTTGTTGCACTACCACCATGTCATCATACCCATTGCCACAGTTGCCGAATAAGCGTCATGCCCGAGTGGGTGGCCGGAAGATGAGTGGTAGTGTTTTCACAAAGTTGCTCAGTCGCTTGGCTGCTGAAGGCCAAGATCTATCTATACCAGTGGATCTGAAGACCTACTGGGCTAGACATGGGACAAATCGCTACATCACCATCAAGTAGCTTGTGGAGCGTGTACCATGTTTCTGGTGCATGCTGCCGCAAAGATTCGACGGAACTTAGGAAAGGATTAAAAGAAAAGGGATGGAGCTTTTTGATGAAAGGAGGTATCTTTGCTCCATTGATGTAGGTTTCTATAATTCCTAAAATGTTAAATATCAAATTCACTGGAGTGGAACAGAACAAAGTCGTTCTTCTATCTGCAGTCAAAACTCTTATTCCCCTGGTAATTAATCTCTACTATCCAAATGACCTTGTGATTTCTTGCGTACAAACAGACCCCGGAGCATTGCATTAGATTATGAACTCATTGGATGATATTGTCATTATTATAACTTTTCATTGCCAAATTTACGGCCAGGATGGATCCACGGGGCCTGGCGGGGGCGGTCATCTCCTTGAAAATTTTAAATTTTCATATAATTTAGGTATTTTTTATTATTAATAATCTATTTTTTCCCCTTATAATTCTAAATTTATCTTCTAACATAAAATCATGTGTGTCCTGTCTATTGGTTATTACGGCACCATTGTTTCCTAAATGTCAGTTTATCAACCGAGACTGAGTAGGTGAGTCAGCCAATTGGTACAAAACAAGAGTATTTACTTAATTATGATATATACATGTATATGTATACACACGCACAAATATGGTACAATGAGAGCATTGCATTTGCGCACAGGGAAATCAAAAACGACCCACCCTCTTTTTGAAAGGCAGATTATCTCTAAGATTTTCTCCTTCCAGCACCCGAAAGATTGTATTGACTTCTTAATGGTGGCAGGGAGAATTTATGTCATTCTTTCGGTCATTTTCCAAGTCACATCTATATAAAGAAATTTGATTTCCTATTTACAGTAACCTAAATGCAATAGCTTATAGTATGTATTAACAAATTCGATTTCCTATTTGGAATAATTGTTTTCAGATATATTTTCTTTTTGATTAATCTGATTATGTTTTTGTAAAAATTAATATTCTGATTCTAGTTTGTTTGAATGCGTACCATTCTCAATTGTGTTTGTGTAATGCATCCACCTCATATTGTGTCTTGTTGGCGTTTTTCCCGAAAAATCACCTTTTCCATTTAATATTCTCGATCAAGCATCGTTCAAACTATATTTTTCGATCTAACATCATTTGCAGGAAGACGCGCCCCTTGAACCGCGCTTTACGCCACGTGGGCGCGCCTTACCCAATGTATAAAAAATCCAGATGCTAATTTTGTAAATATTTTTAAACGGGTGTCAAATACGTAATTAATTTATTATGATGACATTTGTGTAAAAACGTCAGCATTTTGAATTGTGCACAGCTCACACCGCATGGTGTTGTGAATTCGCTTGAGTTTTAATGAAGTGTGCAGTGTGTGTAGTGGTTGAGTTTATTAGTATTTTAGTTAACAAGTTTATTTTTTATAATAATAAATATTTTATAATTTTAAAAATTATAAATTTCATATATTTTTGAAAAAATTATTGTCTTAAAATTATTGTTTAAAAATATAAAAATATTAAAATAACTTTTAATTATAATTGAGGGATCAAATTAATTATTATTCATTAATTTTTATTGTTTAACAACAGTTATAATGTTTATTTATTTTTAATAAAATTATTTAAAAATTTGCATTAAAATTACACAATACGTATAGTCTAGTATATAAAAACTGAGGTTAAATATTTTAAAATATGAATAATTTTATAAAAAAAATTATAACTAGTATTTCTTTTACAAAATGATGATGATAAATATTTTATAATTTAAAAAATTATAAATTTTATATATTTTTGAAAAAAAATATTTCCTTAAAAAAATTAATTGTTTAAAAATATAAAAAAATATTAAAATAAAATTTTAATTACAACTGAGGGTTCAAATAAATTATTATTCAATAATTTTTTCAAAAATATGTGAATTTTATAATTTTTTAAATTATAAAATATTTATTATTATAAAAAAATAAACTTGTTACACACTAAAATACTAATAAACTCAACCACTACACACTGCCCAATTGTGACAAGACCCCTACCAGTTCACACCTGGTGCGGTGTGAGGGTGTCTGCACAATTAAAATGCTGACGTTTTTACACAAATGTCACCATAATAGAAATTAATGACGTATTTAGCACCCGTTTAAAAATATTTACAAAATTAGCACCCGAATTTTTTATACATTTGGTAAAGCGTGCCGCGCTTTCAACCACGTGGCGTAAAGCGCGATTCAAGGGCGTGCATTCCTGCAAAGGGTGTTAGATCGGGAAATATAGTCTGAACGGTGTCTAACTGAGAAATATATAGGGTTAGAGTGATATTTCGGGAGAACGCCTGTCTAGTTATAATATCTGGTTTTTTTTTTTTTAACTTTGATATATTTAAACACATCTTGTAATTACTGTAAGGTCCTTAAAAATGTACATCTTACACACACTTAAATACGGGTCACCAAGAAAACATATAACCCTATGTCAATTAAGGTCATCACTTGGTTCAATTATGCACTTACATCTAAAAAGGCAAAATGGTACTAGAATTTCCCCCCTAAAATAATAGTAAATAAAATAATTTGGAAAAAATAGTAAAATTATAAGCTTCCAGGAATTATGAGTTAGTAAAATTTGATTGGATTAAAAAAATTTACTTTTAAAATTTTGAATTATGAGTTAACTCGAATTAGTATGTCCATTTTCGAATGCAGCTTTTATCAATTCGAAAAATTGAATTTGATTATTTTTTAATTTAGTCCCTAATTTTTTTTTTATTTCTTCAATTTCTCATTTGTTTTAAGTTTATTTTTGACTGAACCATGTGCTCTATTATTACTATATGATACCTAAGTAACTTCAATTCATACTTTTAACAATATTTTTTTTATTTTAGCCCTTCAACTTTTTTTTATTCAATTTGATCATTCTATTGTAATATTTATAAATTTTTTCTTCCCTTCAATTTATTTATTCTTATAAACTCGTCAATATTTTTTCTCAAAAATATTATTTTAAAATAATATTTAATTTTAGATAATATTGAATTTATTAAATAACATTACTAATCTTATTTACACATGAAAAAAATAAAAAAATAGATATACAATTCTTATATAATTGAAAAAAACATTCAAAATAAAACTAAAATATATTCATAATATTATAATATTTAATAAAATCTAAATAATATTTTTATAACGCTTTACCGAAAATATTAAAAATAATAATATTTTAATATTATATTTCTTTAATTGTATATTAGGCTATCGTACAACAGAATTACCCTCAAAATAGAGGATGTTATCAACGTTATGCGGTACCTTCAAATAATTTTAAATATGTTTAATACAATGAATATATAACATGGGTTGTCTCCTCTCTTGCTTAAACAAAGCTTAACACAATCACTTTGATGAAGTTTTTATAATTGAGATTGTTCTTTTTTTTGTATTAATATGAGGTAGTACACTATATTATATGTTTAAAGATAATTCTCAATTATTTGATATGATCACTCGTACCCTTAAAATTTCTGGTATTCGAATCTGTAACCTCAAGAATTAACAACAATTCATTTACCCTGAGATCACTCGATTTGTGCATAATTGAAATTGTATGATGATAAAAAAATTAAATATATGTAATTGATTATTCAATTTAATTATTTAAAATCAATAAATAAACAAACTAATCATTTAAATAGAATAATCTAACCAAATAACCGAAAACTAAATCAACAAAAAATCAGGTCCGGTTTAAAACATAAGCATATGAAACTTTTTGATTTTCCTTTGTAATTTGGTTTGGACTCGAATTGCTGGGTTTGGTATCCGGACAAAAATGGGTTACTACAATGTATATATAAAATATATCTATATCTACAATAAAACAACTCTGGACATGTCTTGTATATAAACGAAACTTAAATTTAAATCGAGAACACAAATATAAATATAAAAAATTCATAAGCTAGAAACAATTTTTAAACAACGATGATATAAAATGAATATTTTACTTTTTTTAGAGATTCAAGTATCAATATTATCTCAAAATGATAATAGTAGTTATTGACAATAATTTTATGTTGAAAATTTTCTTAACTTTGAACAAAGAACACATCCTTTAGAGTTTCTCAACAAGCCACTCACTGTCGTCGTATTATCGTTAGTCCTCACTGCATCACCTGAATTGGCCTTGATCCAGCTATGAGGTGGTCGCAGCCACACAAAATGAGTGATAGCCAACAAAGAATTAGCACATGCACTTGGAAACTTGGCTAACACAAATGCTTCAATCATTCGATTACAACGTAAAGGGGGGAAAAAAACTTTTCGTTGAACATATTCGAGATCGAAAATCACACTACAACTGTGCTTCCAAAGTCGTCAGCAATGAACAGAAAATGAATAGCTCCCCTCATTGGTTCGAGAGAACATACTTGTTAGATTTAGATTCTTCTTATACCAGTCCTCAAAAGGTTGAGAGATGAACTTGCCCAATCTATCCGGGTATCACCTTCGACTAAACATAATGTCATTTTACAACATCGCTAGACATTCAGAGCCTCTGCCACATTTTTTGCAATCATTTGAGGTCGATATATGACATCTTGAAAGCTCCATATTTGCGAGGAGACGATCTTGAATAGTTAACCATATAAAAAATAAAAAGTTACAAGAAAGTTATCAATAGATACTACATTACAATGACCCCAAACTATTAAAAAAACAATAATCTTATGTGTTATTTGCAATTATTCACAAATTAAATGTTTCGACTTAATTTAATGAGAAAAATATGACTCATAATTTCATAAACTCGACCTTAAAAAAATTTTAAAATCAAGTCGAGTCTCTTAATTCTACATGATACATATGTACCACATATGAAAAATATAAATATATATATATAATATATATATATAATATATATATAATATGGTTAGAGCAACTTTTGAATTAGAATTAAATAATATGATAACATTATAAAAATTTATAATTAAATTTAAATAGGAACTTCAACAATTCGACTCTATTCAAATTTCATAAATTCGATTCGAATTTTTTTTTAAATAAAATTTGAGTTATAAAATAAGACTCGATAACTTGTCTAAATCAAAATCTTTTAACTTAACTCAAATTGATCGATCTTTTACCCCTATATTAAATCATCCAAGCAACGTCTAAAATTTGAATGATTATATTTTAAATAAAATAAAATAAATCTTAGGATAAACTTTATATATTTTAGTATAGATTAA